TGATGGCATGGGCGGCGCTGTCTGGCGCCAGTTGGCCGTGATAATGTTAAAGAGGGGGTTGGGGTCAGACCCGGGTGCGAACTCCACGACGAGCGATGGGCAGGGCGCTTCAGCGAAGCGGTCGCCGTGGTTCCCATGTGGGTGTGAACAGACGTGATACCTGTCCTGTCAAACGATGCTGACAAGCGAGAATGTTTGGGGGAAAAGCCGTATGGGCGTATGTGAGATGGATTGAGAGGTGGTCCCTTTACGGAGTTGTCGAGGTGAAACTCGAGGTCATCCATGAGATCATCTGATTGCTGACGAGAAGCAGACATTGAAGATGCTATGCTCGCAGGCTGTGACTTGAGGCGTATGTGGGCGAGAATGAGAATAGTTGAGCCAGCATAAAGTGTTCTACATTAGAGAATTAGCCTCTCTACCAAGACTTGCTATCAGAGAAGGGTGACGTGCGTTGGTATAGGGTCGTCTTGTAAAAGCTCAGTGACGAATGCTCCCCTGAGCGGCTGTATGTTGATGCGAATATCGAATAGTAGGCCGTAACGGAAGGGATCTATCTGCGTGAGATATCCATGCCAAGTATTGAACACGAGATGGTAATACCTACCTGGGAGGGCAATGCCTTCGCAGCCCACATGTTGAGAAAATGCAGGCTGTGAGTTCGACGACTGGCGAACTTGGCCGGTGATCTCGATCGCAGTCCACAGCACGTCACCGCTGTCATCCCATTTCCGAGCCTCGGGTGTAATCGATATATGCGGTACGAGCACATGAGCATCTTGATAGATGGGCGCATGATACGCATTGCTATATTCCATGGGACATGGAGATTGCGAAACACTTTCATTCTTGTCGTAGGAAGAATGATGCGCTGGGGAAAGGTATCCGTCCATCCCATCGGGGAGCACTGAATCCGGCATCTCTTTGATGGGCGAGGGGTACTTCAGACTTGACATGCCGCCGTTGGAATGAATCTTGGAAGAGATTTGTTCTCTCGTGTGCGGAAGCATCATGTAGGAACGCTCTGGCCGAAGAGCTCGAATTGGAGGGCTCAAAGAGTAGGACGACGTGAAAACGGATTGCCGCTTCTTCCTCACGGTCAGAGGACGATCCCAGCCCGGTAGCCCGGGAGCGCTTCCAATGCTCTCCTCAGTCTGCCCGCTGGTTCGCCGGGAGCGCGTGCTGCCGTACTCGCTGGTGGCATCGCTCCCTCGAATCCGTCTTGACTGGCGCTTGATCACTCGAAGCGGCGCCGGCTCATTTGAGGTGGAAGTAGGGTCGATATCAAGACCTTCCATGCTTGCTTGGCCTAATTGCTGCCCTTAAGAAAGATGAAAAACGTGATACGGGGGCCTGCTCAAATGTCAGGAGGACTGCTCTGAGCTCGTGTTGTCAATTTTCTAATGTTAGCATAACATTCAAGTCAGGTTGCCGACCCCATACAGATAAATCGCAAACTTCATTGGCTAAGTACCTACCTAGGTAGGCAGGTAGTGATTCAAGTACAAGTAGGTGCTGCCCAGAGGGCGGGTATTAAAATTTCAGGCAGTGCTTCCCAAGGTGCGCAGCAAGTTGTCCTTGACGACACCAACGTCATTCTCTTCCATCGACAGAAAGTGAATCTGGAAAGCACGTTAGCGCTCCTGCCTGCAACTTCTCGTGGAGCGTCATTACTTACTAAATCATCTCCGGCAGCTGCTCCGCCGTACAAGACCGGCTCAGAAAGCGAAGCAGCGATCCCTTTCTTGACCCTGTCCTCCCAAACGCCAGCCCAATTCCACTGCCCCGGGTCTCTTGATGACATGGTCGGTGCCGGCGGTGGCACAGCTGCAGCAGCGGTCTCTGCTCCTTCTTTAGCCGGCGGTTCCTCCTTTTCGTCACCCTTCTCGGCCCCTTCTGCTTCAGGCTCGGCCTCTGTGTTTTCGCCGTCTACCTTGGGCACAGAAGCATTGGCAGGGGGAGCGGCGCTGTCGCTCAGCTTTACCCTCTGCCGCTGACGAGTACGCCACGCGTGCCAGGCACCAGGGTTCCCCGCAGCCTCAAGCGGTACTGAGTCAAGCACAGCTTCATCGTCAAACGTGCTGCGAATGTACTGCAGGACCTCGTAGGTTGATATGCTGCTGCCACTCGCAGTAGTGGGGCCTGCAGTGGCTCTTGAGTCTGGGGTCGTAATGGCGCTGCTGCTGCCACCCTTGGCCGGTGTGGCTGGAGGCTGCTGCCCGCCGCTGACCTTTCTGGCGCTGGTGGTGTTGCTACGGCCCCTCCTCCCGAACCAGCCGGGAAAGCCGTGGCGGAGCGAGAAGCCCCCGGGCGGGAGGCGTTCGTCGTCGGTGGCACTGACGGTTCCATTGTCCTGAATGTCGGTTGTGTACATGTAGGTGGTGAGAGGAGCAATAAGTGGATGGAACATGTCTGAGGAGAATGTGACAAGGGGCGGCAGGCGTGGATAAGTGTCTGGGAAAGAAATCTGAAATCGTAGGATGGCGTTTTCATAGGGTCCTGGTATGTGGTCAGACGTGGCTGTCCGGGGGCTCAGGAATCGCATCGATGGCGCACCTCTCCTGATGAACATAGCACCAGACCATAATGTGACTTCGCCCGGTGTAAGACTGACAAAGATGCCTTCCGGGCATGCCTGTTTGAGACCAGAGCTGATGTGAGGTTAGCCTCAAGCTCGCTTCAGGGGCTCGGCTGGGCACTTGGAGAGAGTACACGTACAATTCAGCCAGAAGGTGTTGCCGTTTTAGCGACGGCATGCCGCTGAGATTGATCGATGGCATGCTTTCAAGTTTCAAGACATCAATGAGGCTCTCACATCGCTCGCCGTATCAGAGCACGAGGGGGTTCAAAGGAACACGATAAGAGAAGTGTTGTTGGCTGCAGTCTAGACACAATCGACCTGAGATCAGGTCTGTAGGCTTCAGGTACCTGACCCCAGGAATGCATAGGCGGTGAAACCTGGCGGTGAATTTCTGCCGCCTGTTATCGCTATCATAATTCAGAATGACGTGGCGGGGTTGTGCACAGTGCATGCTTTCGAGAGGCGGGGTAGTCGATGGACTGATGAGTCCTGGCAACCTCCACCCCTGGTGAGGTGAGCTCGGATCCGAGTGGCCGTAGGCGGAGCAAGCGGTCAACACCCAGGATTATTGGTACTTGACAGACAAGTACCGCTGAATACCAGGATTTCTCCATGTGGTCATCAACTGGTACACTATCGAAGTGACCTGTCGCAAGTGTGACCTCCGCGTACTGCTTGCCTCGAATGTGAACATGGGGAAATCCCAAGGCAGATCATTGGCGATGGAGCATTTCATCTCGTTAAATTCAGCCTCCGTATTCGTCAAGTTGCGTTGATCCATGGACTAGACTGGCCCAGTCAGGCGGTGATATGTGTTTCAGGGCTATAAGATAAATCCGGCATCTCCTGTTCATCCGGCAAGCCTCGCTCCTGGACGACAGCTACTCGCGACGGCTGCAACATGCCGCTTCTAGCCCATCAAGAACGCCATGGTTCCAAAGGATCAGACCCCCCTTCTTTCTCTTTTGCCTCCACTGGCAAGCCGTGCTGGATCCTGTTCTCGCTTTACGCGCCCAGGCGGTTCTCGATCTTGGTCCTCTCGTTCTTCTTGATCTCGGCGATCTCCTCCTTGGTCGCGTCGAACCGCGCCGTGACCTGGTTGAAGGGGTTTTCGGGGCTCTTCTCAAACTCCTTGCGCACCTTATCCTTTTTCTGATTGAGCCGCAAGCCCTGACCGCTGCCGTCGCTCTCCATCTCCTGCAGCCTCCGCTCCTCGAAGGCGGCGTACGCAGCCTTGAAGCGCCTCTCGGGGTGCTTGTCAATCTTGCCGCTGTCAGTCTTGCCCGTGAGCGACAAGGCATCAAGCGCATTGTCAATGCCCGAAGCGTTGAGCGTTGCGGCCTTGCTGCTGCTGTCGCCATCGAGCTGTGAGAGATCCAGCCCGCGCGTCTTCTTCGTGGCCGTCTTGTTATTCTTGGGTGTGTTGCGACCGGGGGTGTTGGCCTCCTCCTCCTTCAGTGCCGCCTCGCGCTCGGCCTTCTTTCGTGCAGCCTCGGCCTTCTTCGCTGCTTCGGCTTCCCTGTGCGGTTTACAAGTATCAGCGCCTGGTGGCATCAGAGGTGACAGAGCTCATCGCTACCACCCACTCGGTCACGGCTCGAGCTGGGCTTTGGGCGAGCCGTTGTGGCGGTCACGGTGGCGACCTGGTCCCCTGGGGCATTACCAGGGACCCTGGAGGGTTCTACTTACTTCTTGGAGCCATCCTTGCCGCCCTTTGCCCATTCGGCATCCTCGATGGCAGCCTTCTTCGCGTTGCTGGCAGCATCCTTGGCTGCGGCGGCTTCGGCTTTACGGGCGTTGCCCGCAACCTTCTTGCTGTTCTCGGCGCCCTTCTTCCCGGCCATGGTTGCGGTCGTCGATAGTAGATCGTCTGACGATGTGATGAGACCAGTCGGCAGAAATGCAACGCTGGGGACTTGTCGTCAGAAAATGTCGTGTCCTCTACACCTAGGTTTGCTTGAACTGTTGTTCAGGAAGAGTCACGCCGGAGCAGTCGTGTGGGTTCTGAACAAATCATAGCGAGCTCCTCAAATGGCAGACGGCCTCTCTGGTTGGGCTGCTGTCGCACCCTGGTGGAGACTGTGTATAGACAATGCGCCGCACTGTCTTTGCCCCTCCAAATGCTCTATTGAAATGGCAGTCGCCGTCGACGTCAGGCTTGGCCACGAGGGAAAGCAGAAAGAAAGCATTGTGCCGCTGTGGAGATAATCCGGAGTCTCGTATTTTGCTTCCGAAAACACAACTTACTCGCCTCTGAAACGTCAGAAAATGGTGTGAACAGTTCCACATCACACTACTAACGTTGGGTCCGCCTCGCTACATACAGTCGAAGCCCCGAGCTGATGGATGACCATGACGTGAGAGAAAGGGTTGAAAAATTGTATCGTCATGGCTTGAAGTCACGCCGTCTTCCGAAGACAACAAGAGGCTAAATTTGGCAGCCTCAAGAGTTCACTCTTCGTGATGGCGCAGCCTCTCGGCAAGTTTAGTGGCAGGCATTGCCGGATCGGGCATGTCGGGCCCGAGGTTTGGCGTGTAAGGCCCAAGCTCACTCAACTTCTCATATTGATCTTCACATCGACCGTCGCGAACTCGAATGTTTCTCTTCCAGTAACTTGATGACCATCCTGTCTATATCTCAAGACTGGTGAACGCCAAACTGATCCATTGAGTTGTCCTCCGAGAACGTCCTCGTCGTCAACAGTATGGTCTCACAGACCGACGCCGAGTCCGACCAGATGACCCCGCGACAGATGGTAACCCTTGGCTTTGGAAAGCAAAACCACAAATCATGCGACGCGTGCCGTATACGCAAAGTCCGATGTCCCGGTATAGACTATCCTCATAATGGGCGGAGCTTCCTCGTGGTGAATCATGACCTTGTTAACTCCAGCACAGGCCCGGCCAAGCCGGATTTCGGACCTTGCGCGACCTGCGTTGTACGTGTGAACCCAGGTTTCCGATCCCTCCGTCGGTAGTTCAATGTACGTCTGCTCACAAGTGCTACTCAATATACAGCGGCGGGATAAACCCTGTCATTTCAGCTCGAAGAAGCTTGCTCGGCGGAAGAATGGTATGCGGACCGTCACCTTGTGCAGCTTGCCACTGTTGCTTCACTTTCGGCTAACCACAGATAGTGTCGGAGCAATTCTTGTCCCCTAAGCCAACACCAAAGTCAAAATCAAGCACACCAGGAATTGACATCAATGAGGCAAATCCAGCTGCCATATCATCCCTGCAGCCAGATTTCTTCTCAGAAGATCCCGTGTCAAACACTCCCTCATCAGAAGCCAACAAGCAGCATCAACTGCCCGTTTTGCACGTTGACAGCTTGCTCACCCGCTCCAGCAAAGCCAGTCCATCCGAAGCGGGCGATGAGACTCCACCATTCATAAGGGTACGTTCCATGCACGGAAACTCCCCAAGGTGACTAACATCTCGCAGGGAAATGGCATTTTTGGTAGGCTCATCTCGAGCATTTGCCGCGTTTACAGTCGACTAACAAACATGACCGCCAGCCGGCGATCACTCTCTTACATTCTTCTCCGAAACCAGACTGCAGTCTCTTGCTTCATGTTTGCGGAACAATAAAGTCAATGAACTGGTAGGTCGGATTTCGGGCATCATACAGACGAAAATGCACCGCCCGCCTCCAGCTCCCAATGCTTGGCTTGCCAGGCACAAACAGCCTCTTAAACCGTTCACAAACAGAGCCGCCGCTACGAAGTACATTCGACGTATACTCGCTCCATATCCCAAGGCGGGCAAGACAAAAACGCTGACATGTGATAGTTTATTTTGAATGTGTCCATCCGCTTTACCCGTTTCTCGATCGTGAAGCATTCGAGCGCACTTTCGCAAACCCAGACTTCTTCGAGATTGTCAACCAGAGCAAGGCTTGGTCATGCTTGTATCATTCGGTTCTAGCGATGGGATGTCAATGTGATGGTGGGGGCAGTTTTGAGCCTGGCGTCGGAGACGCTTGGAACCTATTTTTCGTTGCGCTGAGCCTCTTGCCCGATCTTATGCTTCAGCCGGACTCTCTCCTAGTTCTACAAGCCATGGCTGCCATGGCAATTCAATGCTCGGGTATTTCATGCGTGATGCTGGAGCATGTCGTCACGTCGGAGGCTGCGAGGCGGGCACAAAACCTATCAACCAGCAACTTCTCAGGTCCGAGGGCGAAAGCGTACCAGAGAACCTTCTGGTGTCTGTATGCCATTGAGAAGACATCTAGCTTCTATTTTGGAAGAAGCTCGGTGAGTTTGAGACTGTCCCGGTCGCGATTATTTGGTTCTTCCTGGTGGCAGTCCTGACTTCTGCAGGCTTTTATCGACGGCGACATATCGTGTCCCATCCCCCATGTCCCCGAATCAGTCTTCGGCGACTTTGACTGGTTTTTATCTATCATACGCCATGCTCGAATCATATCACAAACATACTCCTCACTCTTTTCGGTCGCCGTTGCCAACAAACCAAATGCGTATTACATGGACATCATTGATCAACTCAATCAGAAGCACGACGACTGGCGTATGTCAATACCTGACACCGGGTTTCGGCCTGGCGGACTTAAACCGCCCTCCAGCATTCACTGCGGCGTTGAAAGAGAGGCAGCAGTCATGATTCACTACTACCACGATGGTCTGCAACTCACCTTGGCCCGGGCTACGCTGCACCGGCTGTCCCGGTTGTCCAGGGCAGACGACCCTCTCATCGCCGCGCAGCAGAAAGCCACCATGGAGGCAGTTCTCAGCGCTTCACGTTCCGTCCTTGAGAGAACTGTCTTGGTTAACGTCGATTCTCACACTAGTATATGGTGAGACTCGCCTCCTGTTTGGGGAAACTTGCAAAGACGACTCCAATGCGCGCATGCTGACGACGTCGACTCTTGTCACCATGCAGGATCCTCGCAGGTATACCTATCATAGGGCTTTTCGTTGTCTTTGATTTCGTCATTCACAGTCCGCTCCACGTCAACACGCCATCCCACCTGGCCTTGCTCGACATGGCTGGAGGTCATTTCAGCCGCATCGAATACCGCAGCCAGGGATACCTACCCGGATCTCTCATCTCTGAGTTTGCGCACATCGCGCGCGAGTACGTCAACGACGCCCATCTGAAGCAGGAGGCCAGAGCAACGCAGGCCCAGACGTTACCGGACATTATCAATGTACCGCAGCCACAACATGGAGCTGCACAGGTCCAAGCCATGGCAAACGCTCCCAAGGTAGGGCGGAAGGAGAGCATCCCGTCCGTAAGTATAGCAATACGTTTTCGGGCACTGGCATTTGATAATGGGAAAGCTGACTTTCTGCGGAAAACAGGACATGGGTAATGTTGCTTCAGCCGAGCTGTCTGATTTCAGCATGGCATTCAACGGGTTCCCTGACTACACGCCATCGAACGCGACGATGGGCACAGACGTCATGGGCATCTTCAACTACTATCTCCCCGAACTGGATCCGATGTTCTCTCAAGGTCTGGATGAAGAGTATGCTTTCAGTCAGGAGCTGTCATCTGGCATCCCAATGGATGAAAGCATGGGCACGACACGGATATAGAGCGGAGAGTTGACTAGTAACATCTCGCATGAGGCACGCACATCACAGCTGTCCGGTGGGACTAATCACGACGTGCCTCGTCTCATCTCTACAAAGACATCGAGGAACATACTGATATGCGAGTCTACAAAGCGCAATGAGCACAGACCGTCTCTTTTGGCGTTTCCCTGTCCCACTTAAATCACCTCAAGAATCAAGACGACGCTGGTGATGTGACTCCGTTCGTTCCATCTCTGGACGTTCGTTTGACGAAAGCGGCCGAAATCGCAAACATTTGTGTTGATGTTAGTGACATATACTAATCAAGTTTAGCACGACGACATCACCGGCCGCATGGCCCAATGGCAAGGCGTCTGACTACGAATCAGGAGATTGCAGGTTCGAGCCCTGCTGTGGTCATCACGGGGATACGTTCCTATCTTTTTGCATTTTGATCGCACCGAAACAAATCCTCATCTATTCAATATCCGTCAGCCCAGCCTCCTCAAACACCTAGATTGCAGAGTACTGGCACTGTTACTTGACAAATGTTTGGACAAGGTGCCTGGGGCACTTAAGCAAACAGTCGGATTCTGACATGGCATCTCCCCACTAACAGCTCGTGCTAGCAGCGTGAGGCACAGCTTTTGGATGCAGGCGGAATTTATTGACTTGGTGAGAGACCTCATCCTCCGAAAACATGACACCGCCGGGCCATCCGTCGTGCAGCAGCTGCATCATTACTAGTGGCCTCGCTGTAACACAACAGGAAATACAACGATGCGCACTGACACCGAGGGTCTTGGTATCTGCGGCGCAGCGAACAAAACGAGGTAGAAACCATCTACCTGAGCTAGCGTGAAGAATATTGGTGCAGGAGCATCACGTTCGACGACACCCATACTGACCGAGAAGCGCCCCCAACCATGAATTGCAGATCTCGGTCAGGGCAGCCGCAGGCCCCTGTCTTCGCCGAGTATCACTGCAGCCTCATCATGGCACCTTTGCAGCGGAAGTCATGCGCTAGGCTGTCAGCGTCAGTCGAGCAAGGGCCGACCACCGTTTGAGCCAGTGGTTGAAACCCTCGTACGTGTACGTACACATGACCAGCCAAGCCATTCATGCCTGTTCGGGAATCTCGAATGGTCCGACATATTCCAGTCTTGTCGGATGCTGACCCGTCTGATGACTTTCCAGATGTCCTCGGGTTTTGCGATTGATAAAGTGACGATCGTACTCTTCTGCAAGCCTCGTTACACAGCATGCAATCTGGTGATCAACTGAGGCCGTTTCGACGCCCGTCCCGTTGTTCGCCTTTGGCAGGCCTTCGTTGTCACTAGGTGCCTAAAGCGACCTGAGCATGACTTGGACCAGATTGACCGTCATCTTTGTCCTCTGCCTTGGTGTCGAACGCTGGACACGCCACGTAACAGTGGAACTCTTAGTCCGAGTCATATGGTCCGCATCCTGCGATGCGATGCTTGGCGTCTGCGAATCACGACATGGCCATGGGTAGTGTGTGATGTCGCAGGATGCTGCTTAACACTGCAGCAGCCGTGCTGTAAATGCGCTTGGCAGGGTTTCTTTGACCACAGGACTTGCAAGGACACTGGATTGCGACACGTAGGGCCACTGATTCGATACCTGATTCTTCCCATGGAATTAGGGAGGCGAACGGCGCTGCACGAAACAAACTACGGCACTACCAGGTGAAAGAACAAAAATTGCGCGTTACCAAGAATTGCGCAGATAATGAAGACGTATTGTGTAACACCACAAAATAACCGGATAACTCGTTGTGCATGGGTTGTCAGATGCGAGATGACCTGAGTTTGATGGGCATTCACGATAGCTGCTCCCAAGAGCTGGCAAGTTCCACCACTCAATGGAGTGCACAGAAAGTCTCCGTTGAGCACGCATGACCACAAGGACTGGAGTGGGCTGTCACGGCTGGGCTGGCCTCAAGGCGTCCCGGCGGTCTAGTAAGGCTGCAAGGGATGAGACGGTCGGATTTGAATGTCATCCGCGCCCAGGGATAGGTGGAGAACGATGGAGTTTGGCATGCCATTCGGGTAGTGAGATTCTTAGGGTGTCAGACTGGTTGGTGACGAATCTGAAGACAGGGCAACGTGCCGCCGATAAATCGCGGACATAGTGCTCGAGTCGACTCAATAGTCACAGTCGAGGGTGCCGTGTGATGATGGGTGCACGCCCACGTTGATGCGGCTCGTGCGCGGACTGTGATTGCGAGAAGCGCCACGTTACCACTGTCAAATTGTGATGATCGAATCAGCTGACATGCGCTCTGCTTACCATGTAGATGAGACTAGGTGGAATGCCGTGTCGTTGCAGTCATAGATCGGCCAATTCAACAGAATCACTGCCTCACGATTGATGGCAACTGACGGACGGCCGGGTCTCGCACGAAGCCTCGTGGAGGCTAGGCGGTAAGATTGTCAGCCGGGCCTAGTCTTGGACCTGGGGGCCTCGGAACCAAATGCAGCCATGAATCAAGTGGCAGATCTGGTCGGCCTGGTAGGATCGAGGTGCGAGCCGGCTTGGTGCATCGTCATTGAACTCTGTCATCGGCGGGCAATGGTCGGACTGTGGGCTACTCAAGTTCCAGACCGGCGATTGATGCGTTTCTTGTTGCATTGCAGCTTGCATTCCTGGACGACCTTGTCGCGCGAAATTTCGGTGGAAAGGGAGAAACGGCCTGAAGGTTGGAATCGAGGAAAAGCAACAAGATAGATGGTGGAGAAGTCCGAGTCCAAGATGGTGAGCGCATGTAGGCCGGGAGAGGGCAAGGAAGGTATGAGCGACCCAGTCTACACCGTAGTGTCTGTCCGTCGCCCGACCATAAGAAGGAGGCAATGGAGGCTTGGAGGCAAGGAAAGTACTTTTCGGCCTAATGCATTGCCTCAGTTCAGAAAGTAAGAAGCAAGGAGAGGAGCGACATGGGAAGGCAAAGCAGCAAGCGAAGTCAGGGGCGAAGGGTAGACCAAGCACAGAAGAAACCACCAACAAGATTGTGCGTCCGCCATTCTAGCATCATCAGAAACTCGATCCCCAAATCGACTCACCAGCACCGTGGTCTGCCCGCCTTGATCTCCTGCAAGAGTCTAAGTCCAAGCGTAAACTTTCTGCAGCTTTTGAGCGGTTCACATTCCTCATTTCACAATTCTCCGTCCAGATTCCGAGACAAGAGGGATGATGGGGGAGGGGGCGAGAAAAAGCATCGCTCTGCTTGACATCTCTCGCCTCCTTGCTTTTCTTGACCTGGCCATCAAGCCGAAAGAAATCAAGGGTGGCCGATGCCTCACCGATCAATGGGCCCAGCCTTCCTTCCCTCTCATTCCCCCCTACCTGTACCTTCAGAAGAAATATCATGCGCCCAGGCGAAATTTCGCCCCTCATAAGGCCCCCGTCCTCAGCCACGTCTGTCGCCCACGACAGCATTGCTGGGAAGGAGGCCAGCCGGCCGGTTTACTCGTCTACACGTTACATCCGGCCGGATAACGAAACAAGGCATCAGGACCACTCACCCCGCGCTGAGTTTGAAGACCGTGGTGATCGTCATTATGAGCCACCCTGACCGCTGGCGACCCAACAGTTCATTCGATCCACCTTGGCGGCTCGGTTCCCCGTGATGAAGGGTGACTGCGAATGACAGACTTACACATCGAGGTGTGATTACAATGCCCACAACCCCTCGAATTGAGTTCGCAAGGGTTGGGTGGAGGGCTCCGCCTAGCGCTCGCCCATGATTTGTGCTGCTGTGCGCCCTGGCAATCTCTACAGCACAGTGTATCACAGCCTGATTCGTCCTTCAACAATTCGCGAAACAGCAATACTGGTACGTTCGTCTGGCTTTCTGGCATTCAAGGGCGTGCAGTCGGCTATTGCAGCTATTGCCGTTATCACTCACAAATGAGAGAAGTGAACGCCAAGGTCAGTAGAATAATGGTGTGCGCATTTCGAGTTTCGTCCTGTTGCCGGACGACTGGATACCAGAAAATGTACAGGTAGTGGTACTCAAGGTAGGTACACAGACCCTCTTCTCTGTCTCAATCAGGAAGTGGGACAGAACACCTGGAGAAGCCGAAGAAGACTTGCTGATGCCTTCCAGCTGGCTGGGGGGGGCAGAGACTACCAGCGATGCCAGGATTCCCAATGGCTGACCGGCAAACCCGAGAAAACTTCTGAAACCGGCGACCCATTGACTCGAGATTCGCCCCCAGCTCGAGCTACATGGGCGTATCCCTGATCTGACTGTGGCCCAATTTCTTGAAGGGGGGCAATGGGGGCTTGTCCCTGGTCTTGACAGCTCAAGGAGCTATTACTCGACATCCCATCGGATCTGAACCAGCCATTCTCCTGGTTCCCACTTTAGTCTCCGGCTGCGACGAACACATCCCCAGCCATTCGGCTCTTCCCCTTTGATGGAGTCGCCCCATTTAGCGTACTCCGCTTGTAGCGCCGCGTCAAAGAGTCGCTCTGGGAAGCCTGCCCCTGAGATCCCGGGTGCTCGGGTCCAGGAGACTTACCATCGGCACGCGACGAAGTAGACTGGAGTCACCCCGCCGTCGCTACACCTTCCATGCCGTCGATCTGCCAGACCTAACCTTGCTTGCTGCCCAGCTCTGGAGATACGCAACAACTCGAAGCCTGTTCGACAGTCTCTAGTGTTTCCGTCGCAGTCGCCTCGAGTTTGGGACGCTCATCATATTGCTTTTACCCAAACTTTCTATGGATGTCGGCACACAATCATCGTTTTCATCGTATCTCCGTCCAAGGAGTACTAATGTCTCAGGCAAAGGAAACCCGTACCATACCCCAGTTTGCATGAGCAACAACGCGCATAGACCAATGAAGACTGGGCCAGTCTTACTCAACCCTGCTTGACAAGAGAACCACAAGCAAGACTTGTTTCCTCCCCTCTGCATGTAGTATGCCGTAGAATCAGCTCTTTCAACGACCCAAAATAACGGGAGGCACTAGACGAGACGCCCGTTGTGTGCCCCATATGGACGCCTGGTCGATTTTGCACTGCATAGGGCACCGGCTGATGAAGACACGCCTTAAGTGCCCCGATTTAGCTGACGAAACGACACCTGCATGACATACCGACGTGCGTCCGCTCCCGTCGATGGCACATGCCCACTGAAGATACCCATGAAGCAACTGAAATGCATCCATTTGGCAAGCAGCTTGAGCCTCACCAGTGGCACGAGGCGCACAGTAATTCGGAAACGGGAATCGCCTTTTTTTTCCTCGGGATGCATCCATTGACGAACAGTCGTAGAAAAGTTGTCTAGGGCAAAGCCGAAAATTCTCCTACCACGTGAAGTACTTGTTCAGTACCACATGGATTTGGGGGCGGAGGAACCCAGGACCTGAGGGCTCGGCAACTCTTCCGGCAGTCGCCAGATGGACCCAACCAAGTGGTTTGCACGGGGCGCCTTGCCAAACTTTTCTCGGGACCAAGGCTGAGAATCCCTGAACCCAGCTCCCCATGAAAACAAAAGCCAATTTCCCTTATGCGGGATCGATCACCGCTACTTCCTTTTGCGACCGAAGAAGAAGGAGGCGCGGATGAGTCCCGGTAGGCCGGTTAGGCCGGTCGAGCTGAGAGGTTACGTGCGCCATCGTCAAGAAGACTCAAGCACACGTCTGTCAGACTTTGTCTCTTCGGAATCGAAGACAGTATCGCAAAAGAAAACACATCGTATTTTCGGCGGAGTCTGGTCAACCCCACCGGTGAAGATGGGGGCCTGGACAAAGGTCTTTTGATTTGATGTGCGGAGCTTGCCTTGTGCAGCATTTCGACATGCAGGCTCAAGCACAGATCACAACGTTGCCACATGGTCGTCGGAAGCAGGGACCAGATGTAGTAGTGACTGTGAGTCGGGGCGATTGATACATGACAAAGCTCCAAGCTTGCGGATGGCATGACGTGTGTTGCGGCCTACACATTATTCGGGAGCATGGTGATGGTACCACCACACGGGCGCTGGGCCGTGTTGGGGGGATATCGTCAAAAGGTGATTCGCCATCGAAACGGCCCATGAGCTCCTCAAAACCAGCCGGACGACGGTCCGAGTCAACTCCGACGAAGAACGTCGAATGTGCCGTGGCCGCAAAGTTTGGCGTCGCTCTATGAAGGACATATGTTCGCAATCGACAAGACTTAAGCAACACAGGCTGGAACAATAAAAAAAAAGGGGGGGGGGTTGTTGATGACTGAATGCAGCGTATACTCGATGCCGATCGAACCTCAGCGCTCGCTACGCAGCCTGACTGGTTATCGTTCGGAGCTTTCGTTCACAGGACTTGATCCGGAAGTTAGCACCTTCCCCCGGGTGGATTGCACATACATGGTAATACTCGCCCTGTCACAATCCCGATCGCCGCACTGAGAGTGACGAGGACAAGCCCCCCTCCCCGCCTCAACGGACAGATGAGGGTAGCGGGGTGGTGACAGTTCCGAACCGCGCTGCGGTGCACAATATGTCGTGAAATCCTTCGGATCTGGGTCACGACCAGTCATCAGTCCATCCTCACAAGCCAGACGGTGACATCGTCGTCGTTTTGTTCTCCATGCACAGAGAGTGTGACTAATGACACTACAATGCATGTGCTGACCTGACGAGCAGGTGCAGGGGTCCTAGTAGATAGCAACCAGGTTTTCTGAGCCTCGCCCAACGATGTGCGTGTCACCAGAAGCAGAAGCCGAATCGTGTATCGTGGGTCACGGCAAGTTGCGTCGTCACAAAGACTGTGTCTACCCGTCGGCCGGTGTTCCGCGGGACTCTGGGAGCCTTTCACCGCTTCTCAGATGACACAACGGGCCGACGTGTTCATCCATGGTCAACCGCCCGGGTTTTATGGGAGCAAACAACTCATCAGCGGAGCTCAAGCTCTTGTACCAGACTGGTTGATGATATCCAAATCTTAACAGAGGGGTGCGATATACGCTGACAACACAGCTCCAGTATGGGGACAGACAAAGTGAGCAACAACACACTGAATGTCGGCATTGCACACCGCAAAATTGATCGGGCACCAGGGACTAGCAACTGGATCGTTCTGCTAAGGGGCGGTCTGCCAACTGCATACAGGGCCTTCCCTGTTTCAGCTCCATGCTTTTTGTACTTGGGCACCCCTGTCTGACGGTTGTCACGTTCATCCAACAATCCAATGTCGACCCCCATGTCGCAACAGGATGCAGCAGAAGATCAAGTGCCGGGGGGGGGGGGGGGGGAGGAGCCTTGGGGACGAAGGTACTTGGCGCCCATGTATCGACTACAGGGGGGGAATTAAAGGGGCTGAAGGGGGTTGGCCCCTGTCCCAACAGGGTTACTTTTTTTTCTTTTGTTTTCACCCCACCCCAAAAACCCCCACCCCCCAGCTTTTCTGTTCCGGGAGGAGCACGGGTTGGCCTTGGTTCGATCCATCCCCGTTTGTTGTGTTAGCCCAACTTCCTCCACCCCCTTTACCTCGTCTCCGGATTGCGCCGACGCGACGACGCAGTGCAACCAGCGGCCCAGTTTCCGCCTCACGCCGACGCCTTGTCCGCAAGCCGCATCTCGTTAAGACGTCTTGGAGCAAACAAACATGACGACGATGGCCACTACCACCATCCGCCAGAGTCTCCATCTCCTATCCGTGTCACCGCTGGGCCGTGTCACACCCCCCCCCCCTCCTCCGTAAGGCGGACGGCTTGGAGACCTTTGTTACCATGGCGGAAAACGGGCGTGACCAGGGTCAGGGGTACTTCACTCCACTCGCCAGGGAGCCCACTTGGAACGAAGTCCTGGGGCGGACGCCGGACCAGGGTCATGCCAGGTCCCACGTCTGTCGAACCGGGGAGCTGGACTAGACTAGGAACCCCTTCTTTGCCTTTCGCCGCATCGCCTGTGGGAGGATCGTCTTCATCGTTGGCCTGGTCTTGTCTGGTCTGGTCACCGCCGTTCCAATCTTAGCCTCCATTCGCGTCCGAGGGCGGGCTGGTCCCGATGACCTGTTCCAGTCCACCAGGTCCAGGGTGTAATTCCTGGGCCTTGACGTTGGATGCCCACTTTCCCCTTAATTGCGCTCTGGCTCCCATCGCCTTTGGGGTTTCGATTTATACTTCATAAGATGACCCGCCACATCATCTCAGCGGACTTAGTCTCACTTGCTTTTCCCCCATCCTGCCGTTGCTTTTCCACCATTGACATCACTGTTCATCACTACTCTCCCCTGACTCTTGGCTCGATTTCGGTCTTGTCTAGTGTGACCCGGCTCCTCACCCACCTTGACAGCGAAGCTCCTGACACCCATCTATATATCTGGCACCCCGTCCGCTCCTGCCACCCTCTCCCGAACACCGGAGACGCTTTCGACTTGCCACATCAATTCGACCAGACTGCTGTTCTATTCATCGCTGTTGCTTAGACCAAGGTTGCCGACTGTGGCCTTCGCGCGAACACAACCGACACGATGAGAAGAAAGGGATACACGACTTTTGGAGGCAGCAAGGATTCGGCAGATCGCGAAATGGATAAGAAGAATTTGCCTCCGTTTCCGGTGCGGCAGATGTTTGTTCTGGGTGAGTTTAGGAGCCATCTGGCGAAGTACACAATCCGCGACTGACATGCACCGAACAGCGCTCTGCAGAATATGCGAGCCTATTGCATTTATGTCAATCTTCCCCTACATCTACTACATGATTGAAGACTTCAACATGACCGACGACAAAAACAAGATTTCCGTATACGCTGGCATGGTCACCTCGGCTTTCACCTTGGCCGAATTCTCGACAGGACTCATGTGGGGACGACTCAGCGACAAGATCGGCCGGAAGCCTGTTCTTTTAACCGGCCTTGCAGGCACGGCGCTGAGCGTCTTGCTGTTTGGCTTTGCGCCCAACCTCCCTGTTGCTCTCTTTGCCAGAGCGCTAGGTGGATTATTGAACGGGTACGCCCTGTCTGCTCGACGTTAGCACGCAGCATGCTTACAATATATCAGGAACATTGGTGTCTTACAGACTACGGTTGCTGAGCTCGTGACTGTAAAAGAGCACCAGCGTGAGTAGCCGCGATCTTGCAAGTGTACTCCCGGAGACTGACCTGGACAGCGCGAGCATACACGATCATGCCATTGGTTTGGTGTCTTGGCTCCATCATCGGACCCATGATCGGAGGAGCACTTGCCCGACCGTGCATCAGCTACCCCAATGTCTTCCTCCCCGGCTCAATTTGGGAGAAATACCCTTATCTCCTG